ACTCCGTTACCATCGGAGTTATAAGAAAACCACTGAACCACCAACACAACAAGGTTAAACAAAGGCCCAATATAGAAATCAAAAGAGAAAATGTGCGTATACTGGACAACAATAAGAGGTTATTCCAAGATGATTTGGACAAGTGCTCGACCGCACGAGCACAGTTGAATTCCAAAAATGATGTAGTATTGCCCAAGTTCTTCAGAGCTAGGCCAATACCTATTGCGTTGAGGCCCAAAGTCGAGGCAAAATTGGAAGAAATGGTGCTGAAGAGAATAATAAGAAGAGTGGAGCATAGTAAATGGGCCACACTGCTGGTGGTTGTGCCCAAACCAGGCGGAAAAATATGGATTTGTGGTGACTATAAGGTCACGGTGTACCCGCAACTAGATATCAGTCAGTACCCATTGCCCAAGCTAGACGATTTGTTTCTCATGTTACATGACGGCAAGAAGTTTTCGAAAGTTGATCTTTCTGATGCTTATATGCAAGTTGAGTTGGAAGAGAGCTCAAGGATGTATACTACTATCAATACGCACAAGGGGTTATTCGATTAACACGCGAATCCCTTTTGGAATTGCGTCAGCACCAGCAATATTCCAGCGGATAATGGAGGAGACGCTGGCGGGAATTGAAGTGGTGCTGATCTATCTGGACGATATTACTGTTACAGGTCCAGATGATAAAACGCATTTAGAAAGACTAGAGAAAGTCTTGAATAGACTGAATGAAGTCGGATTCCGCCTCAAAAGAGGGAAATGTGAATTTTTTAAGAAGGAGATGGAGTTTTTAGGCCACGTGGTCGATGAAAAGGGCATTAGACCATCTCCTAGTAAATTAAAACCGATGCTGAACATGCCAGAGCCTAGGAATATAAAAGAATTGAACTCTTACCTAGGCATGATACAGTACTATGGGAAATTCATCCCTAGATTAGCTACGTTGGCAGCGCCGTTGAACAGTCTGCGCAGGAAAGGTGCACCGTGGAGATGGGGGTGCCGAAGAAAGAGAAGCTTTCACAAAGATCCGTGAAAAGCTTACAGCAACAGGCACATTAGCGCACTATAATCCTGATATTCCGGTAGTATTAGCTACTAGTGCCTCAGAGTATGGTATAGGAGCAGTATTATACCACAGATATGATTATGCGACCGAGAAAGTAATCGCTTATGCATCACGTTCCTTGACAAAACAGGAACGCGATTATGCACCAATGGAGGAGGCATTAGGGATAGTGTATGGAGTCGAAAATTTCAATCAGTTCCTTTATGGCCGACGCTTTACGCTGTTAACCGATCACCAACCGTTAGTGAGGGTCTTTGGCCCAAACAGGGTCTACCGGTAGTAGAGCGAAAAGGCTGCATAGATGGGCGTTGAGGCTCATGCTATACTCTTTCGAGATAGAGTATAGGAAGACAACAGAATTTGGTAACGCAGACAGATTATCTAGGTTGCCTGACCCAAGAGAGCTGCCTAGCGCAGAGATGGTGGTCAATGAAGTGCAGGAAGAGTTGATAGCGATGGAAACGATGGAAAATTTGTCTGTAACAGAAGCGGAGATAGCTAAGGCTGCAAAAGCAGATCCTCTGTCGCATCTGGTGATAAATTACATTAGGCCGGAAAAAGTTGCGGATGACAGGTTAAAGACGTATGCGGTGAAAAAGACCGCACTGACATTGCATAATGGCTGCATATTGTGGGGGTATAGGGTAGTTATTCCCAAGAAATTTCAGCAAACGGTGTTAAGGATGCTACATAGTAGTCACTATGGGCGGAATAGAATGATCAGTTTGGCCCGGACCAAGATATGGTTCCCGGGCATAGACAGAGCGGTAGAAGATATGGTGAAGAGATGTAGAACTTGTGCGGTCATGGGCAAGGACCCGGTCAGAATACCTATCCTTCCGTGGGAAGAACCACAGAAGGCCTGGCAGAGACTGCACATAGATTTCTGTGGGACGAGTGGTGGAGTCAAATGGTTGGTGGTGGTGGATGCGAAATCCGAGTGGCCTGAAGTGGTCAAGATGGGGGCCACCACGGCGGAAAAAAACGACACTAAAGCTGAAGGAGATATTTAGTAGGAATGGACTACCCGAACAGTTGGTTTCGGATAACGGCCCTCCGTTTACTTCGGCAGAGTTCCGGGACTACTGTGAAAAAAGGGGGATACAGCAAATCTTTACGCCGCCTCATCACCCTCATTTATATGGGGAAGCAGAGCGTTTTGTCCAGACGTTTAAAAATATCTTGTATAAGGGGTTGCGTCCCACTAAAACGCTAGAAAATGCAGTATTGGACCCGATCTTTGAGTACACGGTAACACCCCATGCGGCGTCGGGAAAAGCACCGGCAGAAATGCTCATGGGGCGACCATTGCGAACCACCCTGGATATAGTTAGAATAGAAACAAGGAAATTGCTCGCCAGCAAGTATCAAGAGCGAATGAAAAGAACTTATGATCAAGGGAAAAAAGAGCGAACTTTTGTAGTAGGACAGGAGGTATTCATAAGGAATTACACCGGGTCCGGAGACCGATGGATACCCGGGATTGTGGTTAGAGTCCTAGGGTCAAGTGTGTACGAAGTCCATTTCGGCATGGGAGTGAAGAAAATCCATGCTGACCAAATGAAGGAAAGGGTGATTCCGTGGGAGATGGCAAACGAGGATTTGCTGAGAAGGATGAAGAGTAGGGTCCCTAAAAGGAAGGAGGAACGTACCAAAGAGCAGGGGTTGCGACGATCCAAACGTAAGTGGCAGGAAGCCGCTAGAATGAGGGATTATAGAAAGAATGGGAAGCGTAGGAAGATTGGTACGATAAGGAGGATAAGGCTGCAGAATGTAAACAAAAACAGTGATAGCTGGCAGGGACCTATAAAAGAGGGCGGAAGGAGTATGCACCTCAATTATGTTTCCGCCAGCCCAACTACCTATCCTCGTCGGGGGGGGGGGGGGGGGGGGNCCCCCCCCCCAATCTTCGTACTCCCGACTGGAAGCAATGGAGTGGCGGCGACGGGGCCGCCCTCGGCACCCACGGTGGTGCCGGTGGTGTGGGCCCCGTCGGGACCACAAGTGGCGGCGGCGAAGAAGCCGAGGCGTCGTCCGCAGCGCCGTGGCAGGGCGCTGTGGGCGGCGCTGAAGGGCATACAGCGGGACCTCTGCAGAAGAAGTTACAGCCGATCTTCAAGAAGAGAAGTAAGAAGCCGCAGCCGCCCGTCAAGAAGACTTTCGAGGAGCTACAGTCGATCGCCAAAAAGACAAGCAAGAAGCCCAGTCAGTCAGTGCGGCGACGATCGCGAAGCGCGGATCCGGGCCGTGAGGCCATGAGAGATGACCCTCAGTGAGGGGTGATGTTTGTTTGATATAAATAATAAAAATGTTTCAAATACTGTTGGTGTAAGAACAGTGGGTGAGGAGGAGGTGACAGAAGGTTGGACCTCCTCACACCATAGGGTTCGCTCCTGGTACATGTAGTGACCGCAGGGGTCACTAGGGGGAGGTGTAGAGTGGTGTGGTAACGTGAGGAAGTGAAGAATGAAGAAGTGAGGGAAATAGTAGACTGATTATTAGAGAGTATAAAAAGGATGGTAGTGAGCAACAAATCATTCTCACCCTCGTCTCCTGTTCATGCACACGAACTGGAACTTTATTTCGTAAATTACGCGGCTCACCTTCTACCATTGTAAAACAGAACCAGGCGTTGGGTGATAGTCCGATCTAGTGCGGAACTTCCATACAAGATGATGTAATCTGATCAATATGGAATTGTCTACCACGTGTCTCCGAAAATACCGCGAATGAGAGCGTTTCTATCATAAAAATGCGAATTTTTTATGAGAGGTGTATGTTTGTATGATGAGGTCGACGTATTTCAATGCTCCATCCATTCCATTCTGCAGGTGTAAGAAGAATAAGAAGTTCCTCAGCCTATCTGCTGAGGTCTATCTAAGCTTGGCCTTGAATCACCCACACTGACCTCGAGAGAGTGTGCTCCTCTTTGTAAAGCTTTTCCACGTCCTTACATATAAAACGCTTTCAACTCCTTTTCTCCGTAGCTCGACGTTGATGCGTAAGCAACGAGTACTGTTAAACTGGGGTTGAGCAACATTTCGTCAATCGCAAACGTCTGGTTCGGTATGTCAAGCTTTCTAGGGACGATGTTCATGGCCAAGTGTGTGTTGATGAGGACACCTACACGGCCGATGCTCTTGCTGTCATATATTCTGAGGAAAGGCTCTTCTGCAGCTTCGAAAGCGCTGTGCGAAGGCGATGCCATCTCATATCGGTCAGCCCGTTGGCATCGTACATGATCTTCATGACCTGTATTATCAGATATTTTGGGCCGCCGCTTAGCCCTGAAAGTATAGCAGCCTTACCCGAACAATTCACCCAACGCTACTGTATTGGACGCTCCACGCTCCCTTCGGTCCGCAGACCTTCCCTTCTTATATCAGTATTTTTGGCAATTGAGCGTCCACAAGTAGCTTGCCGGGCTCTAACGTGAGAGCTGGATAGACATCGGGTAGCTAGGTCAGGCTATCCCTGACAGAAGTTCCAATTTTAGAGGTACTTTGAAGGCACGGTTCACGATAAAAATTGTTACTGAGTTCTTCCATTAGGAATACTCAGTGGCCCCCATGGGTGGTAGAAGGGTCCCTCTCGCTCCCATAATCTCGACGGTCAGGGCATATTGGAAGCTCTGCTGCTGTCTTGATTCGCTTTCCCACCTCTCGACCGATGTCACGTCAGACGAGTGTCGAGGCGATACAGATTGCAATATTCGTTCTAAGACCCACACACAATCAGCAGATCGCCGAGTGATGGCGCTGTAGCGATGTTTTTCTCAGTTATTTTTTTGTTGCTGCGATCCCTTATTTAATTTCTACACCAAAAAGTTAAAAAAGGTAGGCTATTTCTGCTGGTACTAGGGTTTTTTTATTAACTTGTACTTATAAATGAATAAATTGTTGCTTAGCGTAGTTAGCTTTTCGCACAGGAACCCACACATACGCAATGGTCCACATTATGTAGCTCGTCCAAACGCCCCACTTACCTCCATTATTCTGGTCTCATTCTCGTCCAGCCCCCTTTCTAACGATTTTTTGAAGCCTCTTTCACCTTTGAAACACCGATTCACGCAGTTCCTTCGCGTTTATCGCACTATTTTTCATCTTACCTTTCATTTTTTGTCTTAATCTTGATTACCCAAAATTATCGTGAACTGTGCCTTTAAATGGCCCTATCCCTTACTCTTTTTGGAAACTCATTTAGCAGTTTTAACTTAACATATAGTGAAAAGCATTCCAAAATGCACCAGAGTCTCTGCGCAAGGACGAGTGACGTTTGGTCCGCCATTTACCTCCCTATCAGCTACCTCAAGTCGCACCACTGAGCATCGCCACCGACCGGCTAGAGGTCCTTCAATGAAGGGAACTCCTAGGAGGCCTGTGGGCATAGGATGATCGGGCAAATGTTATTGAAGTGGGTGAGATCGTACGTAGCTACTCCAGACTAACCAACGCCAATTTGTTGTTGGTAGATTGGTGGAACCATCAAAATATTGCCACGCTGTTCAATCCGCCTTAAATTCACAAAATAGCTAAAGATGTTAAACACCCGTACTGGTACTACGAGCCGCTACAGCCGCTGGACGTTTGTTTCTTCAAGCCATTCGAAAAAATCTACAAAGTACTATAGTACTTCACAACCGCAGTCCATGATCTTTACTTTTGCGTCTTAAATAGCAACCCAATTTTTCGCTTCCTGACTATGGCACCGCATGTATCTCTCCTTTTCGATTGTAAAAGAGTTCCGATGTGGCTTAGAGACTAATTTTGAGAAAATGTGAAAAGAAACGTACGAAATATTGCTGGTTCATGAGAACCTTGAGGATTAAAAGTACCAAACGTATCTAAAAATAACCTGTCCAGCAGTATCCCATAATCCGAGATTAACCGTGTGATTGTCCAATGTCATTTGAGCAGAATAGTTGTCAAAGCTGTTACAGTGATCTTCACAACGAAATTATCTGAATTAAGAACTGAAAATACACTTACACTGTAGGCACGTACTGCACTGGAAATGAGTCAGTAGTATACGAAATCAGCATGCAAGTCTTTCCCACAGTGCCATCGCCAACTACCACGCATTTGATTTGCCTCGAGGGACTGGACATCACCCTGAAACTACTAGCCAAATGAGATCGCTTGCTTCTAGAAACCTCGTCTAGTTTGCTTCAATGAACGCCAAGCGAACAACGAACCATAGAAGAGAGGAAGAAGAGGGTTCATATCCGAAGGCGTGAAGGTCTTAAATCAAAACATTCTCAAACCGTCAAAGCAAAAAACTTGTGATGGTAAACTGGTCATGGTCTTTCAAGAAAAAAAAGGAAGCAGAAGCACACATGAAATGGCTCTAGATAGGCGGCAAAACTAAGCTTCTCCTGATGGAATCGGATGAGGGGAAATCCGAGCAAATACACCAGCTGACGTAAGTAATTGCTGAAATAGCGCCAAGTTCGTGCGGACCTGACTTCTTAACATTTACAAGGAAGAAAGAACCCAGACAAAGTTCAAAGAAAAGAAACACACAACTTAGATACAATAATAGATGTATCATGAGAAATAACAATGGGGAACGACTTCTAATTGCTCGTTTTTACCTAGAAAGTACTCCTGTTGTCTTTGTAGGTATTAGGTTGAGTCGTAAGTCCTTGGATAATGTCATAGTGCTTCTAGAGATCATAACTCGGGAAAGAGGTGACGTAAATGGACGCGCTGGGCATCGTTAGATAGAGTATAAAAAGCTCTTCCAAATAATGCTATTAAATATACGTGCCCTTTTCCTGTGCTTGAGCGTAAGAAGAGAAAGTGCCATGTCGGCGCGACAGTCCATGTCATACTGCTTCAATGCATGAGGCACCCATCGACCGAGCTTTCGCACCTTGCCGATTGACTTCAACCGACGAATATAATTGTGGATTGACTTCCCACAGGTGACTGCCAAATCACAAGTAGTTCGAGAAGGATCGGCTTCCACCTGGCTCCGCAGCACGTCCAAATCCAACTCCACTGAAAGTCCCGAACGGTCTTCATCTTCGATGGAATAGTCGTTCGACGTGAACTTTGACTGCCACTTGTAAATTGTGCATCTAACGAGAGCAACCTTCTTGTAACCTTCCTTCATACGTCTATTACTCTCCGCGGGTTCTTGGCCAGATAAAAAAAGAAATAGGATGGTGTTGCGGAGGTGGAGTGCCGACGGCTTGAAATCATCGGGGCATGGTTGCAGTAAAGGAAACAGTCGTGTGTTCATGAGTATGTATTTTGAAGAGCTTTTCATACCCTATCCAACAATGCCACGCGCTTCCATCTTCGTCTCCTCTTTCCCGAGTTATGATCTCTAGAAGTCATCACTATCACTTTGTCCGAGGACTTATGACTCAACCTAATATAATGACAGGTATGACTAAATTACATCGAAGAAAAAGGATAAGTACTTATGACTAAATAATCATGTATAAAATATGTACTCTTGCTGACGGAATTGTACCTTTCTAAAACATAAATATTGTGTTGAACAAAGAAGTTGAAACTAAACCCATTAGCAATCTCACTGGAAGGCTATTTCAAATGCCATGGACTTTTTCAAAATCTAACGGGAAATGCAGAAACCCTAAGTAAACGAGGCGCCTTCTTCATCTTATTCTTTAGCGTCTGTCCCGCTTGAAGGCGGGCTCTGCTCTTCTGATATGTTGACGCCACTTCTCCCAATTACATGCTTGGTCGGGGTGAATGTTAACCTTTCCAGGTCTTCGTGCCACGTAAGTCATCGCTGCTTTGTAGGTGCTCTAGGCCGCTTTTCGGACGCATCAAGATTGAGGCCGATATTACGGACACTGTCATCACTTGCGCGAAGAACATGACCATACCATCGGGGACGGATTTCGCACATTTTATCGACAATCGGCTTTCGGCTACACCGAATCGCTCCCTGATGACTTGTGCGGTCTGATCGTGTTACTCCGACTGTCCCGCGCAGCATCTTGGTCTCCATCACACTTGTACGGGCTTCATGTTCCTTGGTCGCAGACCAGCTCTCAGCGGCCGTACATCGTGACCGGCCCGATGACGGTTCTATAGATCTTGGATGTGAGACGTTGACATGTTCTTGTCGCAGAGCACACCAGTCATCGAGCGCCTTAACCACGTTCACGTGAGAACTCGTTTCAAAAGCCAGCGTCCAACGCAATAGCCGATCCAAGATAATTGAATGATGCTGTCCGTGTGTGCTCCGCACCATCCATCTTGATAGAGCCTGGCCGGATCGTCGGCCAAATACTTGGGCTTTTTGACGTTCAACCTAAGACCGAACATAGTCAGACGGTCCGACAACGTTTGCACCTGTTGCTAGAGCTCGCTTTTGTCTTCGCTGGCGAACATACGTCTTCAGCATAAAGAAGCGTCCATGGATCCGGCATCTGGATATATCTTGTGATGGTATCCATGGCGACAACAAATAGTAGTGAGGGTAACACTGAGCCTTGGTGTACTCCAAATGAGATGGAAAAATCTTCCGATGTGCCCGTTGCCTTTTGCACCCGGCTTTTTGGACTAGCGTTAAGGGCGTCAAGAATGCGTACCCACTCGATAAGCTCTAGAGACACTATGCTGTCGTAAGGCATACCATATAACGTCAAGCGGGACGCGATTCAAAGCCTTCTCTAAGTCTAGAAAGGCAAGATTACCGGTCTTTGTTTTTCGCGATGCTTTCCTATAGAACGCGAGTGGCGTGTATGATATCGATAGTTCTGCAACCAGTCGCAAAACAACGTTGGTTAGTGGTCAGCTCGACGATATCACGGATACGCCTGTCTACAATTCCCACAAAGATTTTTATGCTGTGCGAAAGCAAGTGAATTGGACGGTAGCAAGTGCAGTCCACAGGACTGCCCTTCTTCTTCCGGATATGAATTGTCGTGCCCTTTTGCCAGCTCTCAGGCCCCTTCTTTGCAACGACCTGGTTGAAGAATTCCGGCAACCACCCTGTAGTATTCCAGCTCTTTGATTTCCACAATTCCGATGCTAAATCGACAGGACCATTTGCTTTGCCTGATTTCATCCTCTTCAAAACCGTAACTGTCTCCTGCACGGTTATCTTCTGAACGGGGCCCTGTACTGGCGGGATGGCGGGACGAGAAAGTTCGGCTATTGAGATATTTTCGAAACACTCTCATGATCGCTTTAATGTTTGCTTGCGATCCGTCAAAGGTGATCGGTCTCGTCATTTATGTCGTAAAACATTTCTATGTCCTAGGTCTGGCAATTGCGTGTCTTTGCGAGTCGGTGAACGTACCGCTCGCCTTCGCGAGACTACAGTTCCCCGTCGTGATCGGCAAATGAGTTGCCTTGGCAAAAGCGACGGCCTTCTTTTCCTGTTTCTTCGCTATTTGATAGCGCTGGCGGTTATCAGCTGTCTTTTCGAGAAGAAATGCGTTGTATTGCTTTTTCTTCTCAGGTACTTCAGCTCTGACACGTTCCGTCCACAGCCATGTTTTGTTGCCAACCTTTTGCCGAGCAGGCTTGGTCATGCCGAGCTTCGACCGCGCAACCCGGGTTATCGCTTCGACAGATTCCTTCCAAGTTTCATCGACAGCCGTTACCGCTGGTAGTAGTACCGCTGGTAGTAGAATGCAGGATACGCCAATTCCATAAGTCGCCACCACTTGATTCTAGCTGGCCCACACTATTCAGCTAGTTTCGGTTTCGGCGGGGCGATCTTTAACGTTCAAATCATTCAAATCAAAATCAATTTGTGTACTGTTCTCACCGCTGTAGAAGATGATGAGATGAGAGTCACGTTTTCGAAAATTCGTGTTTAAATAGCGAGTTTATGCGAGCCTGCATATTCGAGGATTCGTTCGCCATCAGTTTTACGTGACCCATATCCAAAACAACCATGGCAGCTATAACCGTCTTTCGTAGCGAACACGTGACAGTTGAGGTCACCCGCGACAACCATGGCTTCTTGTAACAGTACTTCAGCTGTCTTTTCATCGAGCAGGTTTCGGGACTTGTCCTTGGTTTGCTCGGAGCATCCAGAGCATACGCCGAGAAGAAGTTGTGTTTTTGGAGTTCAATGACGACAATGATCTACATCAAGCGGTCACGATCGAAGGGTTCCGCGCTTACTATCGAATCACGGAACCGTTCACGGACAATTATCCCAACGCCGTTAGTGGTTTTGGGACCATCATAGAAAACGTCTTTGAAGCCGTGGCCAATGTCCCTCGACACGCAGCAAGACCACCTAGTTACCTGCATGGCACATGAATTAGTTCGTCGAAGCTCTAGAGCTTCTGCTAACTCGTACAAGCGTCCTGTTTACAAGCCAACATTAGCGTCGCAACGCGAGTCTTCCATACGTTGCGGCTTTTGGACTAGCCTAGTTGTCCCCTACCCCTTCCCCGATGCCGTCCTTGCACAGGAGACCCTCCCATATTTTTTTACACTCGCCGAGCTTTGAAAGCGCGCGTACATCGAAGCATTACATCGGGATTGATTTAGTGACATTAACAATTCGAATGCCCACGATCAGCTCAGTCCACAGAGTAAGGAATTCCCAGTGGCACTCTTGGAGGAACGGACAACACCACCTAGGTAAACAAAGTGCCGGACAGGGAAACTTATCGTTTCCTTGTACTTTTTCCTTCTTTCAAAAAAAATTATCCCCTTTTTCCAGAGACCTTCATTTTTCGAACAAATTTGAGCGGTGGAAATTCCTTCATGTCCAGACAATGAACAAAATAGTAGCCGTATAGAGTACAGTTTCTGTCAGCACATTGAATAGAAAATTGTATGCGAATACAAGAATACGATCCGTAGCTTCAAAAAATGATCCCATGTAAAAGTGAGGCATGAAAACGATAAAAATCAACACATGTCTTTAAACTCAACATTGTGTACACTCAACAAGCACCCGAGCTAAATAGATATTCAGTTTGAAGAAGATGTTACAAAACAGAAAGAATAGCGACACAAGTCAAAATAGTAGTTTTGGAAAAGACGAAAAATGAAGCACAACGGCACCCTAAAACCTTGTGGGTGTAAAAGGTAAATGAAAAAGGAGATTTATACAATATATTTGACATGTCAGAAAAAAGTGAGTAATAGTCTATAAATACCATCGGAAACGAACGAACCTATGAGAACATTATTAAAGGCACAACGCCAAAAACCGCGGAATATGAGTAGGAGATTGCCCGAGATTATGAAGGCACACGTGGCCTTGAGGCGGTATTTGGAAGAGATTCAGTCATGGACTACGGCGCAGAGTTCATTAAAGAAATCAAAAATCCGAAGATCCCTCCCTTTGTCGCTTCGCGTCAAGACTGCATGCAAATAAAATCTCATGCTGCTGCACTCTTCATATTGTTACCAGTTGGCCTGTGCACGATACCGTGCGCGTCTCATAGCTCTCGATAGAAGAACTGTTACTGAGTTGTTTTCTTTAACTCTTTACGAGGTTTGTATACAAGCTTTATTAGGCCGACGTTTTGGCGGAGTCGTTTTCTTCAGAGCCTAGGAAGATCATAACAACTCATTACCATCCGACCAAACGTCTCCACTGTCACACAGAAGTTCGAGACTCTCAGGGCACGCAGGTTTTTGAAGGAGAACCACTCACCGTAGCTTTGTGGATTCTTCTAAACCAACCAGCAGTCGATGATAATAATCGACCAGTCTCAGCTGTGAGAGGTCCTCATTCAGTCTCTGTGGGAAGGCCAACCTTATATTAGGTTGTAAGGAAAGTTCTGGCCGTTTCCGCGCACGCGCCATATGAATTCAAATTTTGGCGGCTGTCCGTTCAGACTAATCGACATATTGTGCTCCTTAGGTAAGTCATTAATTGCTCTTTCTGTCATAGCGCTTTCCCCGAAGTCTGCAAGGTTTTCGAATCTTTAAGAGGTTTTTTCTGCTGAATGGATAAGACTGCTTTTCGAACGGTTCTACTTCACGAGTTCAAACTTGGTCGAACTGCGAAGGGGGCAGCTACAAACATCAATGTTGCATGGGGAGAAGGTACTGCATCGGAGCCAACGGTTCGTCGCTGGTTCCAGAAGTTTAGAAATGGAGACGAATAACTGGAAGACGAAGAGCGAGTGGGACGACCATCGTTAGTTGATCATGATGTTTTGCTAAAAGTAGTCGAAGAAGATCGACGTCAACCTTTGAGGGAAAATGCAAAGAAGATGGGTGTCTCCCACACANAAATGCAGCCAGCACTAGTCAGTCGCCATGGTCCACTGCTCTTGCACGACAATGCACGACCGCATGTGTCACAAATTATCTTCCAGAAGTTTAACGAGCTGCGAATCGAAGCTCTCCCTCATCCACCCTACTCAACAGACCTGTCACCAACTGACTACCATCTTTTCAAACATCTGGACAGCTTCTTGAAGGAACGAGTATTCAAAAGTCAAGACGAGGTGGAAGCTGCCTTTCTCGAGTTTTTGGAATCCAGATCTCTGGACTTTTATAAGAATGGGATAGACAGACTTGTCTCACGTTGGCAAAAGTGTGTGGAATCGAATGGGGCTTACCTTGAATAAAAATGTTTAGTTTGAGATGAGGTATGATTTTTTGAAAGATAGCTGACATAACGGCCAGAACTTTCCTTACAACCTAATATAAGGCTGCAGCTCCCATTGCGAGGCATTCTTCCCACGATTCATTTTTGGATCGGTGGCTTGTATCCAAAATGCCTTGAAGGTTTTACGCGCGCATGATTGCGATTTCTGTGCCACGACCACCACCTCATCTCGAAGAAGCTGGGTGATTCATTCAGCACCGCTTAGGAGGTTTGCACTGGGGAGGATGAGCGAAAGGAGTCGATTAACATGGCATGCGATATTGCTGAGATGAATGGTTACTGCAATTTTTCAACTACAAGAAGAGCATCTTCTGGTGGTGATCCTCAGTCATGGTAGTACCTCGATTGACGGGAGGATTTTTTTTTTGTACTACCATTTATCTCTGATGAGGTCAGTGCCACTATTAGGAAGTGTCTAAAGAGATCGGGCTCGGAAATGCGGTTGCTATTGTTAACGTACCACTCTTCAATCTACAGGGTGCGCCATAAATATGGTCAGAAATTTTTGGACGGTCGAAATTTTCTTGTCTGGAGGGTTTCTCCAAATCTGCACCTTCCTTTATGTTTAGATATACTTTAGACTACGTATCTACTTTGGTGCTCACAATTAGTCAGATTTCAAAAAATGGTGAAGCCTCGCAGACATCCACCTGCCGTTCCGCCTTTGCACGCATTTGGTGAGTCCCTTTCCGGAATCGCTCCTCGTTTCAGCAATTTCCCCTCTGACAGTCTCTTGAATCGCGGTGCGTAGACAGGTCGGGGCAAACCTCAAGACGATCGTCTTGCCTCACATACAACCTCTTTTTCGATTAGAATTACTTGGGAAGGAGTACGCTGCAAAACCTGCCGAAATACGAGAAAAATGACGGCTGGCTTGTTTGTATATTTTACTCCGATGGGAAGAGTCTACCCATAGTAAATACTGTATTGTATCCAGATAAGATTCGAAAGCCCCATAAGCTTCCTGATGAGAAGTTGGAGAGAAAAAACAAATGCCGTGCGCTACTAGCGCGCTGCACGCGCTCCGACAAACTTTTCTTGACTAAAGGGTGTTCAGCGTGGAAGAAATATGAGACCCCAAATTATACTATGTATTCCAAATTTCGAGTGCTATAGCCGCTGAAAAGAGTCAGATCGCCCCTCATAGCCACTTTCCCTCTTCGATGATAGTAATAGAAACTCTACAACAGAGCGATATCGCAAGTTTTGGTCGAAAAAAAGCACAAAATTTAATCCAAAACTCTTCAAGAAGGGTCCTTCTGAAAAAATGCAGCTAAGGGTCGAAGTTCTTATTAGGAATACGATTTGAAAATTACGGCGCATCTGCTCACGAATGGGAAAAGATAATACTGGTACTGAGGGAATGTCCGAGACTTTATCCCAGCATCCAATCTTTCTACAAATTTTCAGCGAGCACAAAGTGATGGGTAGCTGGATATAGTTCATACTGGAGAAGAAAACCAGCGCTTCCTAACACACCACTGTTGCTGCTCATAAGAAGCCATTGAAAAAATCCCAGGCTGGATTTTCTCAAGAAACTTTGCGTACCGCCGTCGATATGTTCGGAGTTGTTGATACAGTTACTGATACTTACCACTTTCGCGCCTAAGCCATGACCTCAGTGGGGTGTATAAAGCCCTCGATTGGTCGTATTCTTCAGTTTATTCTCTAATAAACACCCCGCAATCCGCCTCCTACCTCCGGACACAACTCCCAGTAAGGCTGATTTGTCACCCTGATCTTTTGTTTTTGAAGTGATGCCTACAAATGGGGCGTCCTATACTTTTCAGCCACCCCTGTGGAGGGTTATACTTGCTAAACGTTTTATTTTTTCGTCTTCGCACTATAATAACTAGACAAACTAATGACCAAATAACCTTCATAATCCTGCTTCTGTGACGAACAAGTTTCTTCAAATTCGTCGTTTCCAAAGGTTTC